TACCAATTCCTGGAGGGGGAGGAATCGAAGGGACAAACAGTCGGCTCCCTTGGAAGGTATTCATCTGTTCCATCGCGCGAATTGTCGACTTGGTCGCGAAGACACACTTTTGAGGCCGACGTTCTTACGTAAGCTTAACAGAGTGGACTACTATTAATACATTTACTCGGGGATAAGTTAGTCGTGGTCATCTAGGGCCAACGAATATCAAGACGGCATGCTCTCTCGTATGCAACGATCTTTTCGCATTCACCCGTATTCATATTTTTAATAAAAAGTCATTTTTATTTAGGAGCATTCATTCATTCCATCCTCCATAACGCACTGGTATCGCCAATGAGGTAAATTCAAAGAATAACAATTCATAACTACTGAAAACCACTTTGAGTCTTTCCAACGGTCGAGATTAAATATCTTCGGAGGTTATCTCAATGTAGCGAGCCACAGAATCATTAGACAAGGGGAACGTTTCATCATTTCGAACATGCGAGGTCGGAGATCCCCTCGCACACATATGTGCAACGCCCGAATGTCAACCTGGAATCTGCAGCTGGGATATGTCAATAGGTACTAGTACTTGGAAAGCTGATTTTCTTCGCTCATCATTCCTTTCATTCGCCGTTTGACGTTCACGTTCACTTCGATCGGCGGAAGATGCCGGATGTCAGATGTTCCAACGGTTTCAAAATCGGTTAATGTCTATCAAAGGACTCAAATTTATTTATTTTTTTTTTCCTATGAGTTAAGGAAATAGAAGAAAAAAAAATTCGCTACGAATAACATTCGAAAATTACCATTTTACTATAATTTTTACTCCTCCCCTCCAATTTAGGATTTTTTTTCTCACTATGTATTTTTCACCTCCGCCGATTTCCGAACCGCGAGAACAACCCATGTGAAATATTTCCACCTCTCTCCGCTCCAAACGTAATCCTCAGACGCAATGCGAGGGAATATAGGAGGTACTTTTATGATAGTGATGAAATCGCTGCAAAGATAATGCGCATGTCCGACATAACGAAATAAAAGGGTCGCGCTTGAGAGTCAAGGGTGTGTCGAGTCGGAGAGTCGGATTGGAAGTCGGACCGGAGAAATCCTGAAGACGCAGGCTATTTAGTGAAGCATTAAAGTCATTTCTGGAGATCGTGTGCTGTCTGTCGTCCCACCCCACCTCTCGGGCTCGTATTCAGGTATTGTTCATCCAATGTCTGCTACCTACACTGTAAGAAATAATGGTTCAGGCTGGAAGTCTTCAATGGTTCTACACCCTTAAAAAGGTTCCAGGTACTGTGGAACCATATGAATTGGTTCCAGCACGGATGTAGAACTATAGAAAATTCCAACGCTCTTGTGGAACACCTGGAACTGGCCATTGGTTCTAGGTACAACCATTTCTTGTGCTTTCTCAAAAATTTCCAAAAGAGGAAACCCTTCAGGGCTAGAGACGTATATTTTTTTTTCGCCATTCACTCAGAACTCCTCCCCCCTCCTCATTCCCTTTATTTTTAAAATTAGGTTTTTCCAATCGGCACCAGATGGGGCCTAAGCGCCGACTTAACGATTCTCACTCTACAGCCATAGAAATGAATTCATTGTATTTTTCCACACAGTACCTGATCTCTTTCCATGTACAACTTGATGGAAGACTTTGGAATTCCTACAATGACTTGTTCGAGGAGGTAACCTGGTAGATGGAGACTCCAAATACTACTGACCAGGGTGTCCGATGAGACATGCTCAATTTTCCTGAGTCGCTACATGGCGCCTATAAGGATTAAGTTCTTATATGTCATTCGAGAAAGATAGAGTGTGAGAACTGACTTCGGGGATTTGTCTGGCTCCTCTTCAAACTGGGGATCTTGCTTGACACGCAATTCCTTTGCTGGATAGAAAGAGATACTCAATTCTAATTCTGATCTAGTGAAGGAGATACAACCTCAGCGGGACTCCTCCTGGATATTAGTAATCAAAATGTATCATCATATCCCTGAGATCCTTCCTTAATCCTTTGGAAGGAACCCTTTGTGGGATGACAGTACTTGATAGAGGACCCAGGTATAGAGTTGAGACCCAAGAAGTGGAGGAGAAAGAACTGTTATGCCAAAACGATGAGAAATGAACCTTTGCTCATATTTGACACAACGTTGCTTTGCCGAACGGTGATGGTTGTGTGTGGAACCATGTTAGTAATGAAAGGGTTTTAAGTGACACCTGTTGTAAAGATGCTACATGCAACTTTCATAGTTGGTTCTCTAATGGAAGCATTAAATGGTTCCAAAAAAGTTTCACTGTAGAACCAGTAAAGAGTTCCAGGGTGAGCCATTATTTTCTACTGTGTAGTAACCATTTAAAGAATCATAATTTAATATTGATTCTATTACCCTATCTTCTGGTCGTTATTATTGTTCCAAGCTGGTTGTCACAATGAATACATCGTATTATAAAGGAGCCCGTAGACAAATCGACTCAATACTCGAACACGCTGGCGATCTGAAAGCAATTCGGTTTAATTGCAAATCACGTCACAGTCGCTAGCAGAATTGTCGACCGGGGAGGAGGAGGAAAGAAGCAATAGGTGCAATTAAAAAGTAGATTTCGCTTATTCATCTGCAAGATTTCTTACTCACCCAGGAAAAGTGGCTGATCCAGGAGAGGGGGGGGGGGGTTGCCGACCGCCTATTGCCAGTTTTGCATTCTACTTTTAAAATGTAAAATGCGGATGAATTAAATAATATTGGCTGCTGTTTAACGGATATTCGGGTATTTACCCTGCAGATAAATGAAAAAGGCGGTAGGACGCAGGGTGGTTGTAGGTGGGGGGAGTTGGAATGGAGAACCGCGCCTCCCCTTTGAAAAACTTCTGTATCCGCAACTGCCCATGCTTGACAATGATCTTGACCATGTCTTATAGGGTACTGGTAGTGTTGAAGGCCGAGGATGAGTAAACAGAGTTTTAATGAATTCGAATTTCTGTATGTCCGAGTGTGAGGGACAAAACTGTATTCATGACACGGTTGGCTTTGAATAGCTGCAACTCAGCCAATGGGAGGCCAGTTGACACGTGACTAGCACCAATCAAAAGCCAGGATGGAGGAGTATCCTTGAATGAAATTTAAGTTAAATTGAACACGTCATACTCGAGTTATGAGTCATCAACTTGAACTGTGTCAAACATTGACAGTTTAGTCCCTCACTGTAAGACCAGAGTTCCATGAACGTCCTTGGGAACGTCCTATTCACAACTTTTAAATTTCCAAAATTCTTTCATGAGAATCAGTTGAAAACATACTTTCCCTGAACGATGTGAATTCATTAAGGACTTATTCCCAAGAAAAGGGTTCAATAGAACTTTCGTTTTCAGGATTCATCCATTATGCAATTTACGATACGGATACGTTCTTTTCATCACTTGAAATGCATTCAATGCAAGCAAAGCCCCGCTCTCGTGGCTGGGGTCAGAGGCCATAATGTAGCCTCTCAGCATGGAGTCGAGAGTATAACTAGATGCGACACCCGGAGGGGTGGGGGGGAGGAAAGGGGTTCGAAATATATCAGGGCCATCTGCTGGCTTCTTGTCAACAACACTTCCACGAGGCGCGATTCGTGGAAGCGGGAAGCAAATCGTTTGGGGAATCGACCCGAAGGGATTCCTCAACGTAACACGCGTGTCCGCTTGAGTCCGCTTGAGTCCGCTTGAGTCCGCTTCTCGGTCATGGATTGGTTGTTGATGTGCGCACACTTGTTGGAAGATCGACAGTGACATCTACATTGCGGCCCTGTTAATGAATGGGATTCGAGCGGAGTTAGTTACCCTCAAGTTACAATATGCGCCATACTCTATATTTCTGGTTGAAGGTAATATTTTTTCTCTCCGGAGGAGAACCGTGGCGCAATTCAGTCATACAATGGATACTATCATCATATCTGCAGTTATCTCATATTCAGAAATGAGACACTTCTTCATTGAATTCCTTCCTCATAGAGGCGATTATATGCATTTATAAATTAAAAACTTGCATATGATAATGAAAGCAGTGTTAAAAGAGCACGTCATTTAGCATCTTTTGAAATTCTGCGTTTCGAGAGATGGACCACCACGAGGAAACCATACGGCGAAGTACGTTTTTGGGTTCCGCGTGAACGCAAGTGACGACGAACTGACGAATCGCACCGTATTTCATAATGGATAATCCCTGGATTCCAGGCAGCATGCTTGAGGCACTGCAGTGAGCGATGCCATTGTCCCCTTGCGAGTACAACGACAACTCTTGCCTACTCGTTCATCAAAGAGATGGCGAGAAGACAGCGTATCTCCATTCCCTAATCTCGATCCGCGAAAGTCCCCTTCCTTCCCTTCGATGAGGCCAATTTGCAAATTTCATTTCAAAAGGCACATCCTCGGATGATAAAGAAGACTTCCGTCGAAACCCAAAGTTGATATCTCGAAGCGTTTGGCCCGTAGATCTGCCATTCTCACACAAACACACAATTGCTCCTCATCCTGGCAAGCAGTCAGGATCGCACGCTGTTTAACCTCCGGACCAAATTCAAATTAACAACGTCCTTGGCTTTCGTCTCTAAAATCCCTCTTTCCCTTGGAGATCTGGGACTGGAGCTGTACACGGGAACGATTTCATGTCTGAGTCCTCCAGGTTTTCACTTCCGGGAAGGAAATTGCATAGTTCTTATACTTCCTTCAGAAAGAAGTGGCACGATTAACGTCAATTATGCAGCATCCTGAGAAGAAAGCGCAATTCACTGCAATCTTGGAAAGCGCAAACTCTTCCTGGCGTGACTGGAAGCAAAGGTCCTTCGATTTTTACGAACGATATGACGAGTGATGCATGTAGAAGACATTGAAATTTGGCATTTAGACAAGGTTAAATCCTTTTGAATTCGATGCTGCAGGTCTCTATTTTGTCGACCGACCTCACCGCCCGAACCTCGCTTTCGAAAGTGTAACGTCAAAAGGCGATGCAAGCACTCCCTAGAGGGCAAGGATGCATGCGCTGTACGAGTCGCTTTCCCTCCACCAGCAGGACGAACGGGATCGGAGGAAGATGCAGCTGGTACCCTGGCTTCTCCATTGGTTCGTTTGGAGGGCGATGGGAACCATGAGGATTCAGCGATTCCTCCCCACGAATGATCGCTACATGAAGATCGCGTCGCCGATTTCCGAGCTTTTCGTTGGCTTAGAGATTCAGTGCGCCTTCGCTTGCACGGAGTGAGTCGCCCGCAACTTGCATTAAGATACATCTGATTCATAACTGCTAGAAATTGAATGTCAGAAGTCTGCTCGAATATCACGGTTTAATTTCCCATAGACGTCTTCCATGGCAGTTGGAATAGGAATTTGGTGTGTCTCCCCTTGTGCTTAAATCCACCTGTTTCAGGATTTCCATATGCTTGAAAATCGACCCAGGAATGACATCCACCCGATTCAAAATACACGTAGGCCAATAACCAAGAAAATATCCACTGGATAGCTCACTTACTTTGTTCCGGATACACCTCCTATCTATTCTGACTTTCAGCCCATGTGAATGCAGGTGGACCATTCGCAAGGGTTGCATAGACAGATGAGGAATTCAGGAATATAACAATTTCCCGGAAATTTTAAAGCTAATTTACGATTTGGTGGTTTTACTATTGACGCTTGCCGAAATAATTCAGATGATTTCTTCGCTGACGCATTTGTAAGCGTTTTTTTAATATAAACTTTCCAGCAATCAAGATGCAGTTTCAAAAAGGCTAGATGTTCAACAAAACGTGAAGGACGGCAGGGAAAAATATTTTTCAAAATAATTAATTGATAAAAATAAGAAGCTCCTTAAAATTCAGGAATATTCAATTCATTCATCCAATATGCAACTATGGTATTAGCCAATCAGGACAATTAAAACTGCATGCAACGAATTTCAACGAGATCAGCCAATATAACGCCGCTCCCCGAAGAAATTCAGGGCTCAGGCTTCAGAAATAGAGTTGGATATGAGCATCAGGCTCTTCTGATATGCCGTTGAAAATAATCGATGACGCAACGAGGGCACAGGGCTTAATTGGAATCTCTGAATTTTTCTATTCAGGAATTCGATGTGCTTCAGCTATTCAGTGACAAAGGCTTCAGGGGTCTTTTTATGCCGCCTCGGAGGCAACTACGACGAACCAAGGACATCTGATGACAGCAGCACATTTTTTTACAAAGAACTAACAGGTAAATGGTATTTACTAACCCTCCTATTTTCTCTCAGGGAAGTTTTGAGAGCGAATATAGCTGCGACGAGAGGAGCTAACATAGATTAATTGATTAGATGATTAAGTATTTATCTTCTTTTGAGGTTTCATGGTGATATGATGTCATTTGACCACCTTGTGGTATGTGTATGCAAATAAAATGCCTTGATGAGGCATTTTATTTGCATACGCAGTAGTTTCCAGTTGTCTCTTCACCTGACCCTAACCGAAAACGTGAAAACATCGTCTTTCGTCAAGGGTACACAAATGTGCCGGGAACCCAGATTTACGTGAAGATGACCGTGAAAAATATCACCCCGATGGATGCCGCGACTGCCTGCCAGAATGAGGGGGCTCAACTCCTCTCCTCCAACAACGCAGCGGTGAACGCCTTCATGACGCAGCTGTGGCGAAGGAGGCCGTCTGGCACTTATTTCTGGGTCGGTGGGCGGAGCGTCGCGGTAACGGGCAACTGGGTGTTCCCAGATGGTAAGTCTTTTCGGTGGATTTGAGTGGTAAGACCCGAACTAAGCATTTCAGCGTTGATGCCATGTGATTTTCCTCCTTTCTTACTTAAGCTTGTTAAAGATATCCATCAGAAGCCTTTGAGCACCGAAATATATAATAAATTGTAAGAGCCGCTATTTATGAACTTTTGAGAGAAATTAACTCAGCAGAAAAGTAAGCCATTTACAATAAAAGAATAGTTCGCCGGCTCTCAACCCTAAAGTTACTGCGGGGCGCAATTCCGTTTTTTTTATTATTAATGAATGCTAATTTTCGGTGCAACTTGTCTTCAAGTTGATGTTTCACATGTTGCACCAATACTTTAATACATCTGGTATCCATGAATCAGCATTATGCATCACTATGAGGCTCAACATGAGAATCCAGTATTCATAGATCATTATTCCTACCATTCCTCAGTTTGCATTTGCTTCCATGTAAGATACACTCCCAAAGCATGAAACTGAGTTCTCTTCAAAATGGGCGTAAGGGCACATACGCCCTTTTTCCATATCCGCATTCCCGCACTATGTAAAGTCACTTAACATCGTATAGGGATCAGCAGGTGGTTAAGATGCATATTCAAATAAAGAGAAGCCTCTCTCCTTATGCTCTTGCTACTTACCAGGCAAACCTCCTGGCGATTCAATATGGCCGCCACAACGAGTATTCCATTAGCACCTGCTTTTCCTAGCGATTACGTGGGAAAATGTCATCCTTGTATACTGAACTTAAGAATTAAAAAGAAACAAGACAGGAGCGGAAGAGAACATAAAGAGGCGGAGTCGTCCAACCTCTGGAAGGATGGAAGAAATTGGTAAAATCTATGTATGAAATGAAGATCAAGATGATGAATAAATTAATAATGGTTCACTGATGAGTATTTGGCAAGTGAAACTTGTCTCGAATATTCATTTTTTGTGGGCTTTTTTGTAGAAGATTTCCTATTGATGTATTTTTTGGGCAAAATATTATTAACGAGAAAAAAGTTGTGAAAGACTGTTCGGAATAAGGTGCAGCAACGCTGATGTGGCGAAAGGTTCTATGTGCAGAAACATTTTCTGCCTGTATTCCAGCTATGTGAGATAAATATATGTAAAAAAAAACCGCCATTTTTATATGCGTAAGGTCATAGATACCACTTGACTGAAAACTGAGTATTGACCAACCTCAGATTAGCTCGAGGAAGTTTTGGTCGTTCATTTCTAATTTTCTCTTTTGCACATACGGCCTTTTTCCACTCAATTTTTCCTGATCTGAAAGAATCCTCTTCTGTTTTTTAGGCACCTCCCTGAATGTCACCCTGGGAGGCCAATCTTACTTCTGTCCAGCGGCACCAGGTTATCCTCCAGGAAGTTGTCTCATGATTTGGGATATCGATGGCAGAATTGCTTGCTGGAATGATTTTCCTTGCGGAAACATTATGCATGGATACTTCTGCGGAACGAAAATCCCCAATTGATCCTGCCAGAGAAACTCAATCACACATATGTACATAAGCATTGGGGAAAAACGCATTCTAGTCGTGAATTGACGAATTTCTTGCTGGAATATGTTTGGTTTTCATGTGTTGTACGCGTTCCACGTGCCAGGCGATTCTGAAATCATGCAATGAGAAATTCAACTACCACAGTAGTATATAACATTGAAATTACAGAGAAAAGGCATTGAATCAGCATCCTGACGTTAAATCAGGATATAATCAATATTGTTTTAATGTTTTGTGCTACTGGGATAAGAATTACTCCGGAAGATTTTGAATGATGAAAAGCCCTCCTTTGACATTCTTTACAGGGTGACTCAAAAGTCCTTGGACACCTTTAATCAAGTGTAGCATTCTCTGATGAAGACGAATTTAATTTCTGATTTGACCAGTGCAAAGATCACAAAAAAAACTAAACAAACCATGTCCTCATGTTTCAAAAATATCACCATTTCAGGCAATAACCTGCTTCAGACGTTTTGGGAAATCATTTACGGTTCTTCACAACTGATCAATCGACAATTCATTCTATTCCTTCAGCAGATCAACCTTCATGCTATCGATACTCTTGTGTGGCTTGCAGCAGACCTTGGCCTGCAAGTAGGACCACACACTGTAATCCAATGGATTCAAATAGGACTACTAGCAGGCCATTCTTCTGGGGAAATCAAGTCTGGAAACTGAGTTCTGCAGAAGTGGATGTTGGATTTTGCCTTGTGAGCTGGTGCTGAGTCCTGCTGGATTGTCCAAGGCTGGGATTTGAAATGTTCCTGAGTCCAGGGGAGCACCACCTTAATCAACACACTCTTGATAGTAGCTGGCATTGATCTTGGCCTGAGGTTGCACAAAATGCAGGGTAGTTTTGCCAGAAGCACAAACACCACCCCACACCATCACACTGCCTGGTTTTTGAACTCGAAGGACATATCGCTGGTGAGACTTGAAGGAGAAAAGCTTTTTACTCCAGAGGCGATTGTTTTGGGAGTTTTGAGCTTGCTCTACAGTGAAAATTTGTTCGTCAGAAAAAAACAATCCTTTGGAGTGAGGACTGGTTAAACCGTTTGAGCAACTGGCGAAACCTTTGAACTTGTTTCTTCTTGTTCATCTCTGTAAGCAGCTGCACCTTTTGTTTTTTTTAAAGGCTTCATGCAGAGCTTTCCCCTGATGTATCTTCGCAAGGTCTCTTTGTCCACTCTCAACGTTTGCGCAAGCTTTCTTCCAGAATGCTCTGGATTTCAGTATAGCATTTGCCTGACACGTTTCTGGAGCTTCTTATCCTGGAACACGGAAGGACGTCCACTTCTTTGGCGATCTGCTGCTGATCCAAGCTCATTGTATCGCCGAACAATGCTGTAGATAATAGATCGATGGGTTTTGGTGAGCTTTGAGATCCTGCTTGCTGGAAGACCACTCTGATTTTGAAAAATCACTGCTTCTCTTTGATGTTTGGGAGCCATATCAAGAGCTTTCGACCTGAAACTTGGAAGGCAAATAGATCTGTGGTAGATGTTGCTTCGCTCAAAAAATCACCTGGGTATCACTTGTCCAACGGTTTTTTCAATAGGTGTCCAAGGACTTTTGAGTCAATCTGTAGTCGCACAAGCACACATTTATTTCGACTTGGGAGACATCTGTTGCACATTCCCATATGGAGGCATGGATTGACCAAGGAAACCTTTCGACGTTTTCTCATGATTTTCTTTTGGGATGGGTGAATAAATGTTAGCTATTTCCAGTTCTGCATGTGTCTAGTATGCCCTGAAATGGGAGGACAACGTAAATAAATTCTATAACTCGCTCATGATTCTTTCTATATGGAACACAAGTTTTCTAGAATCTTACAGACCTCGTGCTAGCCATTCTAAACCAATGGAAGACATTAAATTTGTCAATACCATTTCTTGGCTTTTTTCACGGTCGCCAGGTAATATCTCTTTTTTTTTACCATGGTTTTCTTTGTCTCCATTGCCTTCATCATTTAAGTATTGCCTAGTTTGTTACATGCTGTAATTAATGCGCTCGTAGTGGATGAAATTTTTTGCATTTCTATGCCCATGACTTTTTTAAGTTCCTGGTTAGGATATCATTAGGGAGGGGGATGAGGGGATAGGGTGAAGGAAAGTGCCCTCCTTAATGCGAATACAATTTTTTTAATTACCTCATATTCTTTTCTATAATGTGATAGCCTGAAACTGCATTTAGAGCTCTCTCGCGGTATGGCTTTTTGGCTCATGTTTTACCTTGCATTTTTTGGTCAAATTTCACAGGTGTAAATACGCAAATTCATCATTTCTAAACGCGATGAGTCGTGATGGAACATGAATCTAGAATTCCTGTGGCAACCCTGCGACCAGTTTCAGTGCCCACAGGACCATACTCTACTCTGGGAGTGTTCGTGTCATGAGTAAGAAATAAGGCAACGTCCGCATTAATACACGATTTAAAGTGATTTACCATTGGATTGGGTGGTCAGCACGAGGTTAAAGCTGGTGGGACGCCGAGCCTCTTGTGACAAAGAGGCCCGGCCGCTGTCGAATTCGTTCTTGATAATGAGAGAGTCATTCTACGACTTGCGCACATCTCCCCCCCCCCCTCCCCCCGTAACTGAGGTATGTTCACCCCCCGATTTCAACATTCACGCGGAATAATACACGTACAACTCTTGGAGTCCCGTTTTCCTCCGCGCGAAAGAGAGTAACTCCCGAGTGTGAAAACGGCGGGATCCCATCAGGGTGGGGTGAAACTGGAAGGCTTCTCCTTGTAAGGATCCCTTACAAGAAATTTTTACCTCAGATAAAATTGGGAAGGTGAAACTCAGTTTCACCGACCCAGTTTAACCGCTACCCTCTCATTTACCGGTAATTTACCTTTTGCTACATACGGAGTATCCCTTGCTCCAGACTTATCTCTTCCTTCAAGAATACTCTGATGTACTTCTCACCTTAATGATAGGCATAACATTAACAGTGATGTTATGGTTAATATGTATTAATTAGGGAGAATAAAATCATGACTCACACAAGAGAATCGCATCATGAAATATTTGGTAACATTTATTGCTAAGCTCACGACTTGTCGGTCCGATCATTAGTCTCAGAATTCTGAAATATTTTTTTGCACTAGACTATTCCGAGCTGAATAGTCGAAAGACCCAATAATGAGCTCAGCCAAACGTCAAAGTAACCAATTGACATCACCGCCACGAAGAACATCTTTTGAGAAAGAGCCGAACCACTGACGCCGGGCGAGACTGACTTGCAGCTCTGATACCGAGCGATATGGGGAATAGAATCGTTCCATCACAAAGATACAAAGGACAAGCGCAGAGGCACGAGGGGGAACCCTTGGTTAACCGGAATTTCACCTTTGAGTCTTATCTCCTTTCAAGATCCAGACTGCGGAGGAGTCCTTTCCCCTGAGGCTCAGATCAAAATCGGGGATTCCCCTCTTTTTCCCAGTTTTTTTTTTCCCCCTCTCTCAACCTGTCAGAGTACCCATCAGGGAAAAGATTAGGCGAAAAAGCGGTTAAATACAGGTGAACGAGGGGGTTACGTTTTGCATGGGAATGCACCGGTCGTGTTGTTTCACTCATAGGCATAGTGATGGTGATGGACCAAGCAAACAGAAAAAATGTTCGGGCGAAGATCTCGCCCCTGCGAGGAAGTCATCCACCCTTCAGCGGGATGAAAATGGGCTCCAAGGGTTGGACGTGGAGAACCGTAAAGAACGGGGAAAGAGGGGCTGCTGCCTACAGCGATGAGAGGGCACTGAGTTTTTGGGGGAGCCCGAAGGTTCTTGGGGATTCCTGCCGAAGAGTTCGTGCAAGTCTTCCACGGGTCGGCCGGTTCAAGATCAACGGTCATCCGAGATTTATTTCGGGGGTCACGACGCATGTGATTGCTGGACGTAAGAAACTCGACTTGGTGTGTTTTTTTCAGGCTTGTGAGAAATTTTTGAATTATGCCGCTGTTTATAAAAAGAAATTGTGACGCCCCTGAAGCAGCAACTAGAACAGTACTCTGATCCATACCGGATCAGCATATTATTATTGTTATAATTTATTAAAAGATATGCAAATGAAAACAACATTTTCACGATTACAAATATCAGTTCGTTTGATTTCCAACGCATATAGAATTAGCAACATAAGAGCAATGCGATAATAACCATTTCGAGTTTCCTTTCATTTGAATGCATCCAGCTGTTCGCCAATTTAAATAAATATTCCACTCTTCAGGCGCAATAACTCCTCCAAGTGGAAGCCATGAAAAAGCCAGTCTGCCTCATGAGGCATCAGAACGAAGGGAGAGAGCTTCGCCAAAAACCTTGTGAAGTGCCACCGCCCTCTACCCTCATGTGAGAACGGAGAACGGGGCTTGGGAACGGAGCTTGGGATCGGAGCAACCGATTTAATTTCTTCTTCTTTTGGGAAGGGGAATTTGGCAATAGCGAGGTTTTAAAAGCATGCGAGGACAATGCATTTTCAAGATTGGCCGAGGAATGGCCGTGTTTTGGCGAGACGTAGTAACGTCTATGCAGACATGTCCCCTTCCATCATGTGTGGATGAATACGCGTTATTGCACGAACGAATGTCCTTGGGTGACCCGAAATTCGTTTGAGGCAGAAACCGAGGACGATTCCCGTTGAAAGCTATTTCGAATCATCGGCGATCGACAGGCTCATCCCGAGGAAACGAGAAACAGAAGTAGACCTCAAAGAAACAAAAACACTTGAATACATTCTTAATTAATTGATGAAAATGTGTGGATGGGATTCCTCACATCCGCGTGACACCGACTACTGAAGTTGAGTAGAATTTTTTTTCCATCCTCCCATCGAAATCTTCGTATCGAGAGTCCTATTGCTTTGGCATTGAATTTGGGAAGACTCGCTTCAGGTGGAAACATAAGCAGAAAAGTTCTTCCTGCGTCGATCCTCAAATAAACTCTTCCGCAAATGAGGGTTGCTGCTCCGTCTGTACTAGAAGGACATCTAGCGGCGCTACAGCGAACCTCCAATGAGAGGTTCGCTGTATGAGTCTACCGATATTCTCCAACTAGGAGTATTCTTTTTTCTTCAGTTATTTGCACCATAGAGGACATTGAAACGAAAGCGACGCAGACTCTGAAGGAGATTCCAAAAGATTTCCACAAATGTTTCGAACAGTGGCAACATTATTGGCTCGAGTGCGTAGCTTCCCGTTGTGAACATTTTGAAGGTGAAAAACCTAATTTCTCCTGTTGGAGCATCCAACAGCCATACAGCAGGGCATTATCGGGGAAAAAGGCCCAAGGGATTCACCCTTCCCATATAGCCGATGCCGGGCTCCTGGAACCAAAATGGCGCCCAGGCCCGGCAGCCAATCGGATTCCTTAAGAAATAGGGACTGGAGCTGGTCAGGCTCTTCCTCTCTAGGGGCTCTTGTCCCACTTCACCCCGGACATGATGTCCATGTAGATTCATCTTCTCCTTGTGGTTAGTTTTCTGCCATTTGCCTCTACCTTTCGTATAGATAACCTGAGGCAAGAGGCGAAGTCATGTTTGCGTTTTAATTTAGAAACTGTCGCTAATAAGTGCTACCTCCTGTTATCTCAAGTGTCTCTAATCACCTGGAGGTGATAGTAACAGCTTTCGACCCTCCTCACGTCCTCTTCCCCTTCTGCATTAGACTTTACCAATCTTTTCACTCCATTCGTTTAGCAGGTGGTCATGCGTTTCCATTGGTGGTCATGCATCTACATGGGATGAAGTTGAAATGTTATTTATCACCATCTTTATTGTTCATCCCGACCTTTCCAAGTTTGTTTCCGAGTTTCCTCAGTCGTCGATGGAGGAGATTCCGCTGATCCTTTTCTTTCCACGGGGAAGTTGGCCGTGCGATGTGGAGTGGGATTTCTTCCTCATCCTCACCTCATCCTTTCTCTCTCGGGAGCCTCATGGCCAAGTCATGGCCAAGTCATGGCCGAGTCAAGACTGAAGGGAGGTCGCTTAGCAAAAGGGTCGCCTTCCAGAAGTAGGCGACCTCCCTTCGTTCGCAAACACGTGCTTCAGGGATTCCAAGCAGCGGATCGTGTCGACCATCGACAATAGGTTCTCTACGGAATGTTTAAAAGCGTGCAATTCGTACGCATAGGTCAACTTCTTTTACACGACAGGCACACAATTGGGGAACGCCGAACTCAATTCAAATGATGAGCCATTAATTCTTTTTTTTTCTTAGGAGATTATTGCGACGTATGATTCCCATTTTCTATGCATTTTTGCTGTTAAATATCTCATGAGCTTTTTTTTCGCATTCGGCTTTTTGACCTCTTCCATTTCACGTTGAGGCATCTCGCGCATCTCCAGGCGTGCAACCAGGCACAATCGCACTCCGCAAACTCGGCACTTCCTCGGCGCATCGAACGAGTCTCAGCCGACGTGGACGTCGAGAAACATCCAGAGGGTGAAGCCTCCTCAAACTTTGTCAAATTAATTAATTTTAATTTGTGTATTTCAAGCAACGGATTCATTCGAAAATTAGAAAAAAATATTCATCGAAGACATATATGCAGAAATCTATATGGCTTTAACGATATCAGAAAATTTGAAAATATAAAACCTTTCCTCTTCAGAAACAGTTTACATTGGCAGCCCATCGGGTGTCCAAGGCAATTCGCGCAGTCACCGCTAGATGTCTCTCAGGAACCAACCGAAAGACTCTCCGCATTCGAACTTTGTTAAAGAGACAATCGATCCCCGGGCATCTCAACCCTCTTCATCTCCATCTGCAACCAATTTTTCCGAATTCGATGCTTCTCTATGGGGCTTTCGAGATGAGGATTTGCAGCGTGAGGATTGAAGAAAGGTTCCCGCCGGCGCCACTCCACCGTGTCACTCGAGAGTGACATCTCACTCACCCTGGGGAAACCACTTGCTCGCGACCACATGTCAACAAAGTAAATAATAATTGATGGCAATCGAGACGTTGTGCTCTTGCAAGCGGGAGAAACAGACCGATCGCCGATGAGACTCGCGAAACCCCTCGAAAGGGATCCTCGGCCACTTCTGAAAGGATTCCCTGTGCATCGAGTAAGGGACTGCATTCCGTCGGGCGTGACGCGTGCGTAGCGAATCTCGAGAAACACGGCCATTTCTCTGCGTCCTTACGTCCTTACTCTTTTTCTTCGGCACTGACGACAGGCTGAACCTTGTCGTGTCAGGCCACACGCGCGTCAGCGAGTCTTCCAACACGTCATCAAGCCAATAAGATCTCCGCAGCGCGGGAACTCAACCATTGTATACCACCTCGCCAATTAGTGACATTATTATCGGATCCATCCACTGAAAATCTTCATCTCCATAGCTCCATAGTATAGATATTAAATTCGGGAAGACAGGCTTCAAGTAGAAATAGAGACAGAAAAGCACTTCCCGTTAGCTTGGCGCAAATGCGGGTAGCTGCTCCGTCAATACCTGAGAGACATCTACCGGACCAGCAACGAACTTCCTACGAAACCCGTCAGTTTCCTGATTTTTTTTATAATTTTCTATCCTATGTCTTCAAAGCATCATGTTTTTTCTCAATATTATATCAGGAAGATAATCACATTACTTATGAAAAATAAATATTTAGAGTGATTTTGGTTGAAATGGAACTTGTCACCGTTCCCAGTTTCTTTTTTTGCTTCCTTTTTGTTAAGATATAGAGACATCAGAAAGCGACATTATGACTGCTGCGCTAGCGCCGAAGTGGAGTGCTAATGATCCGTCCAAATGCTGGAAACGTGCTAGATTAAAAAAAAAGTGGTCATGTTTAGTTTCAACGGGTTTGTTCCAGAGAGGAAGTGGTCATTGATGGCAATGCGATCTTCGATCAGGTGAGAGCCCACGGACGTGCCTGGAAATTAATTCGTGCCAAATTAATTCGGGCCACAACAGCCAATCATTGCGACCAGCAATGGAGTTAATTGGAAGACCGCCAAGTCGGCCTCGAGATAGGGGATTATAGATATTTTAATAAAATTGGAGTCCAGAAAGTTTTTCATTCATTGACTAATTTATTTCAGACATCGCAAAATACATATCGCGACAGCTCAACCTGCACGTCACCAGGAAACAAGCAGGACCTGAGGCCCGTTAGATACCAGAGCCCTCTGTGAGCTGCCCCAGGAAGTACCGGTACGATCTCATTCAGCCCGGCTGAACCAACGGAGACGGAGAAATCCTCCACGGCGGCCTGCCTCCTCCCGCCGTCCACGCACCACGCCTGGATGAACTCGGGACGCAGCGGGAAGGGCATTCTCGAGGGTCACAGAACGGAAAGAGTCGGAACGCCTGTGCCATCTCGGTGAATGGACGTCTCCGGATCATCCGTAATAATCCATCCATGCATTCTCTTTCTTTTAACCTTTCTCTTTACGCTCCCATCGCATGGACATTGAATAGAGAATAGCATACTTCAAAGGAAGATTTAGAAGAGTTAGGCTAAAGAGCTCTCCGGGCATCGATCGTTCCATTCACGCAACGCGAATGCGGAAAGAACGATCATCCTCTCGAATAAAAAAAATCATAGAAAATTTTCGAGATCGAAGTGTCATCCTCAATCGGAGGATCGCACGTCTTCGACCTCAACAAAAACTCAACACGTGTGAATAGAAATGGATGACAATACAAACCTGTAATTTCAATGAGATATATTTCCGAGTGCCCCGATGAAGTGGAGCTGCTCGGAATCTTTTCCCCCATCCTTTCCCCCAAAATCTTTTCTCGAGAGCCTCATCGCATAAGGAATTGAATTCGAGATCGCCGTCTTCAGATGGAGACGAGAGCTCGTAACTTCACCCGGCGTGAATCGGCCGCCAACAATTGCTCAAAGGCAGAAATGCGGTCCGCCGATGACGGAGAGACATCTAGCGGAGCTTAACCAAACGTCATTTGAACCCCGTCTTGCCGTTAATTTTAACTATGTTATTATTGTTGCTTTTCTTTGCTTGAGTGTCATGTTCATCACAATATGATAATTCAGATTTCAAGAATCAAATTTTCGAACAGGCTAATGTCACATTTATATTCCTGGTTCTTCCACCTTTAACTGCAACGAGTAACATCTCATATGAAGAAATGAATTGTTCGTGGAAACACACGCAAACGCCCACGCACATGACAGCCAGCGTTTCAAATGCATTTATCTTAACATTACCATGTCGTGACATTACCATGTCACGACGGCAAGTTTTAGCAGTTCCTGGATACTTTTTCTTCCAGGATGACACTGGGCGACCTTTGGCTGGCAGGTGACAGTTCATCATCTGGAATCTGTTCTGGTACCTAATCTGGTACATCATCTGGAACACGAGCCGCATGTCAGCGCGAAGAGAGATTTTTTCCGTTCTGAAGAGGCGTGTCAGTTCGGTGCTATTTCGCGAGGAAGTCCGTCCACAATAGCTGAGGACCCGCGCAGCAGCTGAGAGGAGTCACACGCCTCCTTCAGCCCCTTACCCGATGCACGGACGCTCAGAGAATTCGAGTGGGGGAACCCTCTCAGAATCGGCTGAGGATCCCCTTCCAGGCGTCTCACAAGTCTCATCGGCAATCATTCATTTCTCCCCTTGCACAACTTCTCGATCGCCATCAGTTATAATTTACTTCGTAGAAATGTGGTCCGAAACAAGCGTTTTCCCTGGGAGAGTGATATGTCACTCTCGAGTGAAAAGGCGGAGTGGCGCTGACCGGAATCTTTCTTCAATCCTCACACTGCAAATCCTCATCTCGAAAGCCCCATAGAGAAGCATCGAATTCGGAAAAAGAGGTTGCAGATGGAGATGAAGAGGGTTGAGATGCCCGGGGATCGATTGTCTCTTTAACAAAGTTCGAATGCGAAGTGTCGTCCGGTTGGCTCCTGAGAGACATCTAGCGGTGACTGCGCGAACGTCTTTGGACTACGTTACTACTTTGGACTACTGCCATTATGAACTGTTTCTGAAGAGAAAATGTTTGCCATTTCAAATTTTCCGATATCGTTTGATATCATGTACTGTATTTCTGCACGCTATGTCTCAGATAAATATGATATATTTATTAATTTTTTTAATAAATTCGCGGATTAAAATTCACGGATTAAAATGAAATGATTTTCAAAGTTGAAGCAGCGAAAAGGAGTTTGAGGAGGTTTCACAGTCTGGATGCTTCTCCACTTCCGCAGCGACTGGGACACATTAGATGCACCGAGGGAGTGCCGAGTTTGCCAAGTGCGATTTTGCCGGGGAAATGGACGGGATGCCTTAGGGCAAAAATAATAAGGGAAAAATGCCGAATGCAAAATAAGATTATAAGATATTTAGCAGCAAAAATTCGCAGAAAATAGGAACCACATGTCGCAACAGTATAATCAGAGAAAAAAACGAATTCTTGGCTCATCATTTGAACACGACTGCAATGTATCCCATTATTTACCTGCCACGTAAGAGAAGTTGACCCCAGCTTACGAATTGCACGCTTTCTCAAACATAAACGCCTTGTTACAAAGCTTCTTGTCGATGGTCGGCACGATCGCTGAGCACGATCAGCTGCTTCGAATTCCTGAAGCACGTGTTTATAAACGAATGTCTGGTAGGTGTTTCTGGTAGGCGACCCTTTTGCGAAGCGACCTCCCTTCAGTCTTGACTTGGCCATGACTTGGCCATGACTTGGCCATGAGGCTCCCGAGAGAGAGGATGAGGTGTAGGTGATGAAGGAATCCCACGTCACATCGCACGGCCAACTTCCTCGTGGAAAGTAAGGGATCAGCGTAATCTTCTTCATCAAAGACCGAGGAAACTTGGAGAGGTCAACTATCAGGATGAACAATGTAAATGGTCATGATTGACTTTTGAGCATCATCCCATGAGATGCATGCCCACAACATAAATATGTTGTGGGCATGGAACGTCTCTATCGCCATGTGACATTCCTCAACAACACAAGTAGAGAGATCTTACAGTATAACCCCCAATAAAT